CTGACTAGAGCTTAATTACAGTTTTTATAAATAATACTTTTGGCTTCTTCCTTTCGTTGTATGTTTGCTGCTGGCTTTCTCTTTAAATGACATGGATAATTTGTTCCTTGGAGGTTCAGCCCACATTGTTGGTAACACTAGATGCACCTGGTGCCTTTTAGGAGGTTGAGGTGTTGATTATTGAGTAGTTTTCAGTTTACTCTTATGATCTGGTTTGTTTGTTTCTAAGTCAGTTTTAGTCATTTATGTTTTTCATAAAATTCATTTTATTTTCTAATGATTGAAACTTGCACATTACATTTTATTTTATATAAAATATACTCTCCATGTGTATACTCAAACCACTGTTCAAATTCCCCGTCTGGTTTGCTTTACTTTTTATTTTTGTCTTGCTCAGAATGTTTTTAAATGTAAAACTAACTTTCTTATAAAATTTTTAATCGGTAATGTGACCACATGATCCAAAATTTAAAAATATGTGTATGTGTGCAGTGCAATACCTCCCCCCCCCCCACACACACACACCCCAGTTCCTTGTCTGTCTACTTGACTCTCCCCCCATGCCCCCACACAGGTACCTACTGCTGTGGTTTCTTGTGTATTCTTCCAGAGTTCATCTATGCATAAAGTGAAAATATGTGTTCATTTTCTTCCATTTGTCCTAAAAGCTAGCATATGCTATACATTATCATACAGAGTTCCACATTCGTTTTTATAGCTGCAGTTTTTGCCATGCTATGGAGGTACCAAATGTATAAATAACCAGTCCCCTAATGATTACAACTTGAGTTGTTTCCAAACTTGCAATTCAAACCATGATGCTGAATGTGTCCATAAGCCAAATCCTTACACACCAGCCCAAGGGAACTCCCATTAGTTTTTTTGGCTAAATGTTGCCAAATTGCCCTCCTCAGTAGGGTTTACATTCTACTGGTAAAGTATCAGAGGGCCCATTTTCCCCAGGGAATTGTATCAAAATCAAACAAATTCTTTCCTAATCTATCCTTAAGTTTGTAAAAACTCTATGGTGTTTTGAGTCAAGCTTATTGAGGTATAATTTGCATGCAGTAAATTCACCCTTTCTACTGTATAGTATGCAGTGTAATTTTAAATTGCATGCCTTTTACTAGCATGTTGTGTTATTTTTATAATCAAGAAGAGAGATTTTTGATTCTCAAAATGTAATGAATGGAACTTCTAAATACGACCAGTCTATTTGCACATTCTCATTTCTTTCAACCTCAGCAAATTTCATCCTTTGGCAAATTCAGAGCACACAGAGCAATACAAAATGATTTTTTAAAATGTATTCTTGCCAATTCTGGAGAAGCGCAGTAAGACAAATTGACTGTCCGGGTGGAAAAGCTTAACTGGGAAGATACATTTATTGAATAATTGAAAGGAAGAGGAAATGCATTACCGATTAGCTGCAAAAACGCTTGACATCTAATACGTCTACTATGTGCCTCCAGAGACCTGTGTAAATGGGGAGTCATAAAACCGTTTCAGCCCCGAAGTTCCTGCCAGGCCTCAAGCCTGTCGTTGTCTTGCTCAGAGGTTGCAGCACCAGGACATTGATGGAGTGACGATAGCTTTCAGGTTTAGCCGGAGGGCAGTGTTCCAGCAACTCTTTGTAACTTTCCTAACCCTTTACACTGTCCGGTTGTGCATAAATATGTTAAATGAATCCTGGAGTTACCATTGTCTGCTTTGTTTTAGGATTTTTGCTTCTTAGGGAGCAGCATAGAGTAAATCAGAGAAAAGGCTCTTGGTGGTGGCAGAGGTAGTGTCTGATTTATGAAATAGCCAATGGCCTCCGGCAAGCGAGTTCCTTAATTCTCTGGGCTTCTTCACTGTCTAGTCCAGTGGTCAGCAAACTGGCCCCTTGAGTGTAGCTCTTCCACAAAATATCACGTGCGGGCGCGCATGTACAGTGTGATTGAAACTTCGTGGCCCATGCCACGGGGCCAAAGAGCCACATGTGGCTCGCGAGCCGTGGTTTGCCGACCACTGGTCTAGTCAGAGAGGGTTGGATGAGAGCCTTGCCCGTCACAGAATGGTCCACGCATCAGCATCACCTGGGAAGTTTTCAGAAAAGCAGATCCTGGAGCCCCACCCCCAAGCTCCTGAATCCGCACCTGCATTTTAATCACGTCTTCAGGCGATTTGTGTGCACATGTAAGTTTGAGAAGTGCTCGGATGGTCTCCCAGATTCTGGTCTAGTTCCAAAATCGGTGCCTTCTAGGTTCTTCTGTCAGTCATCACAGACTGTCTCATACACTCCCAGGGTTTGCTGGAGAGGATTGGGTCTCCCTGTGCACTCGGTGACTGTGGTGGTGGCCGCAGTGACTCCCAGGCTCACCCACTCCTCTTACTCCGTCGGCCTGTGTTTACGTTGGGACCGAGACATGGGCAACAGAGGAGACGCGAAAGCCAACCCCATTTGCCTTCTCAGAGCCTCGGGAAGGGAGCCCCAGCCTGTGCAGGGCCTCCTGCAAGTCTGACCGCATTGTCCAAATTCTAGAGGCTCATCCAATAAAGAACCAGGGGATGATGCAGTCCCGCTAGATGCATGAAGTACTTCGGTATTTCAAACGTGCTTCCTTACCAGCATAGTTCTCTGGCGGTGTCCCCTGGAGAAGGAAACTTTATGCCAGAGAGGAACTTGGTCTAGACATTGGTTTTTGGAGGGAGATCATGAATTTGAATGTAAACTTAATGAGATAGAAAAGATCGCTGTCTTCATTCTTCACCAGCCCAGCCCAGAGAAAACAAAGCCGTACAAAAGGAGAGCCATGTCCCTGCCACTGGAGCAGGCGTGACCATCCTAAATTAGCGGCCAAAGGGTGGCGAGTCCTGCTTGTGCACACGGACCTTCTCGTTGAGGAAATGGAAAATCTCTCTCTTTTATTTTTTTGTGCTGTTAGGAGTCTGCCCCAGACCTAACTGCCAGCACAGTGTATGCAGCCTGCGATTTTCAGTGAGCTCATGTAATTACTCGCTGTGGAATACCTTGTGAAAATGATAGAAAAAACACGCAGAGGGAAGCAGAGTCTGGGTAGGGGGGTCTGCGGACAGAGCGTCGTCCTTGTGGTTGAGGAACTCTTCTTGTGTCTGCATCAAGGATCTTGATGTCCTCTTCCCAGCCCTCAGGTTGGAAACAGGTTTTGGGAATTCACAGAATGTCAGCTTATTATAAGCAAAAAATCTTCCTGGAAAGAGTCTCAAGACGGCACCCGATGGAAATACATCTGAGCAGAGGTTGGAAGTCGGAGTTACTTCTCCCAGGCCCTTCCTGGGTGCTTGTTCCTTCCGTACCTGAAGCCCGTGCCTGTGTCCCTGCGAGTGCCCTGCATGGCCCGCGGCCTGGAAGATGGCCACGTTCATATTAGCCAGAAGTGCACTTTGTTGTAAACCCCGTTTGGTCGGCCTTTGTGCGTGTTATATAGGTTAGATCTCTGTTACCAAAAGAACATTGGAAATAATGGATTGCTTTGAAGCACATTCCGGGAAGTAAGATGAGAAGGGCAGACACACGAATGTGTCACCAGAAATTAACCGGGCAGTGAGGACACTGTGTGTTCTTTTTTTTTTTTTTTTTTTTTTTTTTTTATGTTAGCAAACTCATTTGCTATGCTCACATTTTATTTCTAATGGTGTAGAACTATTCATTTACCCATGAATTAAATACTCAGCAAGTCCCTACTCTACCTCGGAGGGCTGTACTAAGTTCTGGGGAGATGCACAGCACAGACAGGTGAGTGTTGGGGTCCAGCCCCAGCAGGTCCAGGGGTTCCCCAAGGTGTGGACGGAGTTGGCAAAGAAGGAATGACACGGAGACAGCGTTCAGTTGATCAGCAGCCTAGCCAGGATCTCTAGCCAGGATCTCCAGCCAAGTTCTGTCGACACTGTGTGTTCTTCACACTGGATATGGTGAGATGGGACGAGAACGTTGTGCCTGAAGCAGTTCATGTAGGAATGCCTGGGCACACCCTCACTGCAGAGGGCATCGGGCCTACTCCCACTTACAAGTTGTGCAGTAATAAAAGACTGGATATTTTTGCACAAAAATGTGGGAAAGAGCCTTTTTCCTCCAGGTGTTTACAAAAGCACTCACTCATAAATAGGGTCATTTTAAAATATTTAATGCCGTGTTTGTCTGTCATTATCCTGTTAGGGAATTTTATGGAATTTGACTGATGGAATAATCAACCCCTACACTAGATGTGGCCTTGACCTTTTGACCCTTGGAGGAACACATGTCTTTTAAGTTCGTACAGGAGCATCTGTTTTCCACATTTCTTTCACGATTGTAGAATTTTACTTAAATATTACATCCAGTCTCAATCTCAATGTCGTCACGTGGGTGAGTGCTCTTGGGGTGGGCGGGATCCTTCAAATGCTCCAGCAAGTGTATTTGCCAGTAAATTTGACTTAAGTTCATGCTCGCACTTTTGGTCTCAGATGTTGCCGGGATCAGTTGCTAAGCATTAGGAGGCTTGATGCTTGACCGGAAGGCTAGCACTTGCTCGACAAAAAATTATTTCACTAAAAGTCAAGGTGTCTCATCTATCAAAGTGGAAAGTGGGGAGGGAGGCAAGGCCAAGGAAAAACATCTGTGTGCGGTTAAATAACCTTTGCTGCATTTGCTGTTGTTGAATAACCTTTGCTTTGCTGCATTTGCTTTTGGAAACACTTACCTTTTGTATATCCAAAACCTGTGTTTGTTTTTTAAACAGAAAAATGAACTTGTCGGCTATTATTCTTAATTTTGCTTCATAAAAGACTTTGTCAAGATTAAGGGAAACATTCATTTTTCAGACTCTGGGGGCAAAAGCTGCCCCCCATCCTCCTCATCTCTGCAGGTGGTGGAACCCAGACAGGAAGCTCGGACTTGGCTGAGTGGGGACAGTTCGCTCTGGTCTTGGGGTTGCTTCCCCTCGTGTTCCACACTCACTGTCACTCATTGCCTGTCCTTCTGTCTTCGCTCTCCCCTACAGATTCGGAGTTGGGTGTTGGCACACTTCCCGAACACGACAGCCAGGATGCAGGGCCGATCGTCCCCAAGATATCTGGTCTAGAGAGAAGCCAGGAGAAGAGCCAGGACTGTGGCAAAGAGCCGATCTTTGAGCCTGTGGTGCTGAAAGACCCCTGCCCGCAGGTCCCGCAGCCGCCGCCCCAGCCCCAGGCAGAGCCCCAGCCCAGAGCTCCCGCTCAGGACCCTGACTCTGTGCAGCGCCCAGAGGCCCCGCCTCAGCCCCCACGACCGAGCACACAGCCACCGCAGGCGCCCCCCGAGGCCCAGCTTCCACCGGCTCCCAAGCCTCCTGTGCAGAGGCCACCCCGGCTGCAGTCCCCCCAGCTGCTGCACCAGAGCCTGCCCCCTGTGCAGGCCCACCCCGCCTCCCAGAGCCTGCCCCAGCCCCTGTCGGCCTACAACAGCAGCAGCCTGAGCCTCAACAGCTTAAGGTGAGCCAGCCTGCTCTGCTTCTGCCTGCCCTTTGCCATCTGCTGTGGGACGAGCCAGAAGCAGTGGGGAAGAGGTTCCCAGGGAGACGGGAGCTTCCTTGTTGAAAACATTGTCACTGTGTTCTCTCTGAAATGGAGACAGAAAGGGACGGTGAGGTGGGACTGGGTCTCCTGGGAGAGGACAGCTTGGGTCGGGTAGTGAGGACATTGTAAAGAACTGAAATGTCTGCAGGCTCCTGAGGGAGAAGGCAGGAAGAAGGATGGGGAAGAAGCAGAGCTGAGGGTGCCATGCCTGGAGCCCCGAGGGTGAGGCGGGAGTGGAAAGTGAGGCCCAGCAGCGAACCCTGAGGGTTCCGTCTCAAAAGGGCCTCTGAGGAGGGCGGAGGTTTGAAAGGAGCTGCTCTCACGGAGGCCGGGAGGATGGGACTGAGGGGCAGTCTGGTTTGCGGTGGGTCAGGCAGTTGGAGAAGAAACAAGCTGGGTGTCCACAAGGAGGCTTCCTTAGAGAGACCCAGGCCCTCTTCTGCCTTGTTCGGCCAAATGGCAAAGCAGAGTTGAAAAGCTAGCCCAGAGGAGAGCTGCGGAGGACAGGGAGGCGGGATCGTGTTGTCCCAGGGGTGGTAACTCTCCCTCACGCCTCATGGGCTTGGTGTCTTTGCTGTTGCTTTCCTGGCAACGGTCTGGCCCTGGCCCTGGCGTTCAGGGGCTTGCTTTCCCCTCCCTGTGACAGGTGAGGAAACAGCCAGGCTGGGGCTGTACCTTCCCCGTGGGCCAGGCCCCCGTCTGCCCAAGGCCATTTCCTTGGCCTCCAGAAAGTAGAGGTGACAGGGAAGCCCAGCTCCCTGGCTCACCTCTTCTCTGTGCGACTTCATTTCCGAGGTGGTGTCAGACAGGGTGAATGCAAGTCCTCGCTCTCACTCCCTTGGTTCACTGTTGCTGTATAGGAAGCGTGGCTGGTGCGGGATGGGAAGGCGTGGGCCTCTAGGGACAGAGATGAGAGCCTGACCGCTGAAGGGGGAGCGTTGGGGTTTGGGGTCGAATCGCTGTCTGGTCACAGTCGCTGTGTCTGCAGGTGGCGGCAGGTACAGGGGAGGCGTGAGCTCCAGAGAGGCTGCTCGTGCGCACAGGGCAGGGTCTCTGAGGAGGGGCAAGAGAAAGGCATTGAATGGCTCTGAGCAGGGAGACAGGATTCTTTTATTAAAGAAAATTAATTGCTTGCCTCTTTCTTCCTCTCTCTTTTGGTCTCCAACAGCAGTAGCAGAAGCAGCACTCCAGCGAAGACTCAGCCGGCCCCTCCTCACATCTCCCACCACCCCTCAGCCTCCCCGTTCCCGCTCTCACTGCCCAACCATAGCCCACTGCACAGCTTCACACCTACCCTCCAGCCCCCCACACACTCCCATCACCCCAATATGTTTGCCCCTCCCACTGCTCTGCCTCCTCCACCACCGCTGACATCAGGGAGTCTGCAGGTCCCCGGACACCCGGCCGGGAGCACTTACTCAGGTAGGACGGAGGCCCGGGCCCTGCTCACCCTCCCTCGCCGGCGGCCTCACCCACTGTCCCCATTGTCCCTGATCGCTGGGTTCTGTGTATTTGAGATTTTCAGTTTTGTTGGGCGCCACCTTGTCATCAATCCTTTGTGGGCTGGGACTCAGCATAAACAGGTACTAGCACCCACGCCCACCTAGCACAGGCCAGGCAAACGGCACGCCAGAGAGAGCCGCTGTGTTTGGAGCCATGAGTTAAGTGAAACACGGATCATGTGCCCTGTCGTCCGCCTCCCACTGCAGCGACCAAGGCTTCCCAGGCCCGTGTCTGCTCCATTCCGGGCTGTTGGACTGCAGCCTGGTTTAAGGGGTTTCTTCCAGGTGGACAGGGCCTCTGGCTCCGTGGTGGGCAGGTGCACTTGTTGTAACAGGGCATCCCAGAATTTTAAGGACAAGCCTAGTATCAGATACTGGGTCCTTTTCTCCTCACCTGTGTTTGTTAACCAGGACCGGTGCCCCATTTCGGGTCCATGATAGCTGTGTTAGACCTACAGAGAGTCGTCACGCAGAGATTTACCCTTGAGGAGGCATGTGAGCTCTGCGGTGTCAACAGTTGGCGGTTATTAATTAGCACGCCAGTCACTGTTCTTAAGCACTTACTATGTTGATTCCTTTAACCCTCAAAATAAACCCCTGAGGTAGTCAGGAGTGTCCCAACCGATTGATGAGGAAGCTGAGGCACAGATGGGTGGTGAGCCTCGCCCAGGGTCACTCTGCTGGCAGCCACAGAGCTGAAAGCTGACCTGGGACATTGGCCTGGAGTCTGTCAGTGCACCACAGTGACAGACGGTCCTTCAAAGCCGAGCGCGAGCCAGCAGGAGGATCGCACTGTGGCTGGGCCCTGTTAGCGTCAGCCTCCATCCGAGGCCCCGGCTGCACCCCCGAGAGCCCCGTTCCCTGTGCCTCCACCCTGGTCCCTCCTTGCTCAGGCACGAGGATGTCCTGTTCGGAAGGAAATGACTGTTGCAAGGACAGGTGCCATTCTGCCCCTCCCCTTCTCTTCCAGAGCAAGACATCCTGCGACAGGAACTGAACACGCGCTTCTTGGCCTCTCAGAGTGCTGACCGCGGGGCCTCCCTGGGCCCGCCGCCCTACCTGCGCACCGAGTTCCACCAGCACCAGCACCAGCACCAGCACACGCATCAGCACACGCACCAGCACACCTTCACGCCGTTCCCCCACGCCATCCCGCCCACCGCCATCATGCCGACGCCAGCACCTCCCATGGTGCGTACCCCAGGCAGAAATGTGAGGATAAGTAGAGCACGGCTCCTTGTGCAGATGGCGGGGTTGGAGTGGGCGGCCGGGCAGGAGATCGGAGGGGGAGTGCCAGCGGCTGGGGGCTCCTTGGGCCTTGTCCGTGTTGGCTGGAAGGAAGGGAGTGCCTGCTGCAGCCAGCACTGACCTGGGCCTGAAGGAGGAACTTGCCCAGAGTTCCATCCGGCACTGTGGGTGCGTTTTCTCCTAAGTGCCCTCGGAACGGTCACATCCCGTGTTGGCAGTGAACTTGACTTACAGGGCAACTTTATTTTCTTGAACATGCTGGGGGTCACCACCAGATAAATCTCTCTGTCAGTGCTTTGCACCCATACTAACAAATCAATACTCAGAGAGTGCCAGGGGCAGGAAGAGGTGGGGGTAAAGGGGCTGTCAGGAGACTTGGACCACGTGGGGTACTCTGCCCTTTCAGATGCTGGAGGTTTTTAATTTCTTGTATTCTGTAAGATGGTGCAGGTCTGCTATTGTGCTCTGTCGGCAAGGGGTCAGGTAGCCTGCACCCTGCAGGGACAGAGCCCAGCCCCAGTAAGAGGTATAGCTGGCCATGACCGTGGCCTTAGTCTTGACTGGGGTCTAATGCATGCTGGGAGAAGCAGCTCGGACTTTTTGTAACTTAAGATCCATAGTGACGTGCTGTATTAGGATGCTAAGTCTCTTGAAACAGAGCCCTGTCCACAACAGTGAGTAATAGAGTGGTTTGCTTAATTTTTGTTACTATCAAATACTTGATTTTAAGGCGGTTAATATAGGTATTGTGAGAAGAGATTCCATTCATGTTTTTAAAATAAGTATATTTTTAAATATTTTTATTGATTTCATAGAGGAAGGGAGAAGGGAGAAAGAGATAGAAACATCAATGGGAGAGAATCATTGATCGGCTGCCTCCTGCACACCCCCTACTTGGGATCGAGCCCGAAACCTGGGCATGTGCCCTGACTGGGTGTCGAACTGTGACCTCCTGGTTCACAGGTCGACTCTCAACCACTGAGCCACATCGGCCGGGCTCAGTTCCATGATATTAAGAGGCATCCCCTTCACCAAATTTTGTTGCCTCTCTTCCTGTGCTCTCCCCCATTTTTTTTTCAACTTATTTTTTTAAATATGTATTTTAAAGTTTATTTTATAAATTTTATTTAGAAGATTAGAGATGAGGTCTTGGGACCAAATCCTGTATCTTTTTCTTTTTTCTGGAGGAACTAGACTTTTCAACAGTTATATCTTCAAGGGCTTGTTAGGCTGGGAAAGCATTAATGCCGCCTGAGTGAAGTGTTTCATGAATACATTAAATCGGAAAGAGGGGAGTTACAGCACCCAGGCGACAGCATTATTTAGAGCAGTGGTTCTCAACCTTCTGGCCCTTTAAATACAGTTCCTCATGTTGTGACCCAACCATAAAATTATTTTCATTGCTACTTCATAACTGTAATGTTGCTACTGTTATGAATCGTAATGTAAATATCTGATATGCAGGATGGTCTTAGGTGACCCCTGTCAAAGGGTCGTTCGACCGCCAAAGGGGTCGCGACCCACAGGTTGAGAACCACTGATTTAGAGGAAACAGGGCACACTCTTTTCTGCTCAAGAGAAAGATTGTACGGCCTAGCCCAAAGTGCTCTGTGTTGGGCGTAATACATTTCAGAAGACAGCTGAATGGACAATTCTTCTGCCAAAGTGAAGGCGAAAATGGAGGAATTTTCTGGATAAATAGGTCAAATGCTGCCTTCTCTCCGATTTGCCTGAGTAACTGCCTCTTTCTCCAGGTTAGATGCTGGTCTGGGCCAGTCTCTGAGTACTGAGTAGAAGAGACAATAGTGCGGCCAGGACCTAACTGCACTGTGTGGGTTTTCTCTTTGTTTTTCCACTTTTGTTGGTTTCTTGTCAGAGTGACTCAGGAGCTCGTATGGCTTCAGGTACAGTGAGGCTGTGGGGTCTGATGGCAGCCTAATGACCGGAGCTTGCGGAGGGCTACCTCCCTGAAGCAGTGAACAGAAATGTAGATTCTCTAAGTAACTAGCTTTTGCTTTGATCCCTTTACAGTTTGACAAATACCCTACAAAAGTTGACCCATTCTACCGGCACAGTGTGAGTCTCATTACCATGCTATGCGTTCACTGTAACTGCCTTTCCATTTTCTGTGCTCTCGCCTCAGACCAATGAATGACTAGCAGCTTTCTTTACTCATCTTCGCAAGAATTCCCATTGCTCCTCGTCACTTTTGGATGCTTGCTTTTGTGACGTTTGCTTTTGGGTAAAGATGCAGTATCATCTTTGGAATCAAAAGATCATAAGTAAACGTAAGACTTGGAAGCCAACTTGGACTTCCCTGGAAGTGAGGCATCGGTCCCGCGGAGCGGGGTTGTCTGCGGTTGACTCGTACTTTCAGGGTTTCAGTCATCAGTTGAAATGCCACCCTCCACAGAGTTCCTGGAATTCGACTTGAGTTATTCCCTCCAAATAGAAAGTCCTCTTATCTTTTTGACTCAGGGCTCTTCACCAGGCAGGTGTTTCGACTACATGCAGAGCACCTGCTGCTCTTGTCCTCCCACGCTTGTTTACGACTGAAAACAAAGATAAGTAAATGAAAGGCCTTAAAAATGAAATGGATGATAGTTTTCTCTTTAAGCTCATTCTTCTTTATTAGAAAGAATACTTGTTTCACACACTTTTAAGAGTCTGGTCCGGACTTTACATCGGTACCAGCCTCTGTCTTACGTTCAGTTACTTATAAGGCAAGGCCTTCTGTTTATACAAAGACCTCGAACATCTTACCATGATATTTTGATTGTGGAGTGAATACTGCATCATTTTTACCTGAAATTGTGCAAGTTTCTTTGCTCAGTGGCTTATTTGTATTTTTCAAATGAAACCAGGAGGAAGGAAGATTAATAATTGCTAGTAGCCATGTTGATTCTCCATCCTCAACTGTTCTTGCTTTGATTTTTAAATAGTGTTATCATTTGAACAGAAGTGCAGCTTAATAGGTCAGCCAAGGCTGTGGATTCATTCATGCTTAAAACCAGATAATTACGCACTATGTTAGTCCTGTGTATATCTGAGAAGTCAAGACTAGAAAATACTGGAAAACAAGGAAGAACCAGTCTTAAGACCTTCAGAAATAACATGAGGAAGGCCTCTTCAGAAAGGGATGAAGAAAGCATGTTTGAGCTCCTGGGACCCCATCTTAACCATCATCAGATCTCTGCCCTTTGTATCTTGCTGATTTGAATTAAGGCCCATCTATAACAAAAATCATCTTAGAGAAAGTTTAGGGCATCAACAGGTGGCTTGCCTTTCTGGATGCATACTCCTCAGAGAGTTCTAGATTGGAGATGGAGAGTGAGCCTGGGGACCTGGATTTTTGGAAGGTTTACGTTTTATTGCTTACATACTTAAGATTTTTAGTCAAGGGGGGATAGGTAGCTATATTCTAAAAGCGTTAGTAATGGAATCAGGCGAAAGGAAAATGGTGAGAACAGCAGTTTTTTATTGACAACATTAAAGTAGAAACACCCACCTGGAGGCAGAGTAAAGAAAGTTGGGTGTGTTTTAGTGTGGCATGTATTTAATTACTCTGCTTCATGCAGTGTACTGTGGGAGTTATTTCATATTACTGGTGATCGTGGGTAATATGTGAAATGCTTAGTCTCCCCTGCTTTGGGGATTCGGACGTTATACGGGGAATTAAGATGCAATGCACTCAAGTATCTAAAACACAATTTTAGACTTAAAAGTAGTTTTAAATGAGGGCACTTGGCTTGCAATCACTGTTTAAGTGTATTTTAGTTCAATATCAATTAGTCTGGAAAACTTTGCTGCATCATTGAAGGGAGAAAATGAAATAAAGAACGAGAACGTGCTCTGAAAACAGACAGGATTCTAAAATGTGGATTCCAGGCGTTACCTAGAAATAGCTAACATAAGTGCATTATTAGGAAAGCTTGATTATTATTGTTTATACACACACACACACATACACACACACACAAAACCATATAGGTGGGATGTTACTTAAATATCTGTATGGTGATTGGATCAAAGTAGGAACCAGAGCAATAGAATCTCAGAGTTTTTAGAGGAAAAGACGTGTTTGCATTGTCCTCACTATTGCCGTATATCTCTTTCCTCCCCTGTGCTGTCCATAAACTATTAATTCAAGGAAATTTATATGCTTAATTCAGAATCATTCTTCTCCCTTCACTGACTGGGAGCCTCCAGTGAGCTTGTCCATCTTGCAGAAGAGTGGGCGGCTCCACTGAAGGTCTATATTGAGTCCTTTTATTTGATCCTCCCACAAATATTTGTCATCATTTCAGATGAGACAATTACATTGTCCTCTGGAGCTGCCACTTCTAGAACAACCTAATGAAGCAAGGATTGTGAATATTTTCTCATTTCCTCAAACTATTAAAAATCTAAAAGAACTAATTGAGTTTTAATGGTATAAAATCCTGGAACTCATAAAGACTTGCTTCTTTTTCTTCCTTCTTTTTTTTTTTTCCTTCTTCTCTTTTTCTTTTTCTAATTAACTTGTAATTTTCTGGGCATCTTATTTGGCTCAGCACCCCCTCCTGTTTTTTATATGCATTAAAACCTCCAACCGTTTAGGACTTGTATCGATTTAACAATTAATAATTAGGAAAGCTCCCTTTCTAATGATGTCCTCATCTGGGACATCATTTGTTGACTGATTGATTCTGAACTACTTTTAAGTTTTTGAGTTAAGCATTCGTGGCACATCTGTGTGATCATTTCATCGTGGCTTCTTGACTAATAGCATCAAACTGAGATTGCTTGGCTTGCTAATGTTGCTGTCTTTCTGTGGGAAGGGACTTGGAGTGCATCATTCGCCTCCTGCTAACAGCTTTTCCCCTCTCCGTCTCTGGCCACAGCTCTTCCATTCCTACCCTCCTGCGGTGTCGGGCATCCCCCCTATGATTCCACCCACTGGCCCCTTTGGTTCACTACAAGGAGCATTTCAGCCGAAGGTAAGCACCGTTCAGTGGAAACGCACATGCATGCTTGTAAGTGGAGCCGCAGGCCAAGCACGCGGTGGGTTCTACGATCTCTCACCTGTAACTTTTCTGGGATTAGAGGGGGAATCTTTTTTTCTGCTCCATGTAGTTTTAAACTTCAGCCAAATTTAATTTTCAATTTGTACTACCCATGTAATCTCAGTTGAGCTAGGATTTCCTGTGCTCTTTAAAAATATCAGAATATATGTATATTTTCCCACCAAAATTGTGGACATAGCTTCTGGTCAGAATTCTATCAAATGTCAGATGTATGTGCACGAAGTCGTCCTTGGGGTACATTTTATTAGCAAAGATGCAAAGCTGAGCCTTTATTGATTTTAACAAAAGGGAAGGAAAAGGTTCTAAACTAAAATTACATATTTTTAACTATGGGTTTTTATTCTCCCTCGTTTCCCCTCGGCCCCATCTGTCTGCAGATAGAAGAGCAGCACCACCTTTCCTGTGCTCTTCCCCCTCCGCCCCTCAGTCCTCCCGCCCTCCCCTACACGTTCCCTCCCCTGCACCACCCCTCACCTGCACCAGACACACCAAAGCCAAGGATCCGTCATCACTGACAACCTAACGTGAAATTAACCTTTCCCCCTTTATGATGGCCACATTCTTTCCTACTTCATCAGGGATATGCTGGTGCCACAGTTACCTCTGAGGGTCAAGACTGAGGAGTAATTCCCAGAAATTCGACCCTTTTGTGACTTTAAATCTGCTACAGCCCCTACTTCACGTTCATACCAAAAAACCCCACAATGTACTTCTCATGCTAGGAACCCTTCTCAGATTTTAAAGTAGGAAATTTGGTGGTGTGTGACTGTGGTTTTCTTATTTTCCATCTCATTTCTTAGACAAAACCCCTATTTTGGGCCAGAGTCTCCCAGGATCAGCACATATTACATTTCCAAAAGCATGTTGCCTTAATACTAGAAATAGGAAAAGAAATTAAAAAGCGTTAGGGTGGGATGGCTACACCTTAGAAACCACATTTACCTGCACAGGGTTACAGTTTATAAGCCAGGTTATATGTACACAAGGCCTTTAGGACGGCCGTGTTAAACATCTCCTATCTTGGGATAAAATGATGGTGATTTTTAAACTCCTTCCCCCATCTGCTCATTACTACTCCCCCGGACCCTGGTCCGTCCCCTCTAGGTTTCCACAAATCTCTCGCACATCCCCAAACAGACTGGTAGGTCATTTAATAAATTAGACTATTTCCCTCACTCACAATTATCCAATCACACAGAAAACTACATCTGGGCAAGAAAGTGTCTCTCCTGGTGTTGAAATAGGCCTTTCCAGGCCATCTTACTGATTGAATATGTAGATTGCAGTTCATTAGTGAGTTCTTCATATGTATGCAAATCAGGCTGTTAACAACTCCAGCTTAATTGTTGGTTGTACAGCAGCTGATTGCTTTTCTTTCTTTTTTTTTTTTCTTTTCTTTGTAGGCAAGCTTTGTGCCTAAACCTGAGCTCTCTCCGCCCCCCCCCCCCACCGCGCCCCCCAAGGGATTCTTAGAGGTTGTGATTTCTTGAATAACATACCTGGTGAAAATTTTTCTGAAACCTTTACCCACTAGGACAGTGATGGCGAACCTATGACACGCATGTCAGAGGTGACACGCAAACTCATTTTTTTGGTTGATTTTTCTTTGTTAAATGGCATTTAAATATATAAAATAAATATCAAAAACATAAGTCTTTGTTTTACTATGGTTGCAAATATCAAAAAATTTCTATATGTGACACGGCACCAGAGTTAAGTTAGGGTTTTTCAAAATGCTGACACGCCGAGCTCAAAAGGTTCGCCATCACTGCACTAGGAAGTAGTGGCTGCTTGTGCCAAAAGTAGGCTTTTTGTTGCTATTGTTAATTCAAAGGACAAAAGCCTACAGATAGGGTTAGTGTTATTAACGAGACCTAAGAAGGGTGTGGGGAATAGGAAAGACGAAGCAGATTACTTTAGAAATCACTGAATATAAATCTGTGTGGTCCCTAAATTAGGTTCTCCTGTCCCATTTCCACCACTGCTAATGAGTAATTACGGAGCATAATTCCTTGTTATTGTCTGCCAGTTAAAATTTAGAGCGTTAGCTTAATGTCTGAAACACTTCCAGTTATTCTGATGAGAAGCACCTGATAGAGCAAATGATGATGATGTTCACCTAAGCAGTCCTTGGAATGTCTGCCTGGTGATAAAGTGGTGACGGGGCTGCGAGTGGCCGGTTCCGGGCAGCGCTTCCGTGTCTTGATCCTCTTTTGGGGCCTTTTGCTCTTCATTGCAGCAAACTGTGGCCTCTGGCTTCAGATGCCATTGCTGGAGAGAGAGGCAGTCTCTGCCCAGGGTGCCTGGAGAACAGAGGGTGCGGGTCCTGATGGGAGCGCGTGTGATCACTGAGGAAAAGGAAACTGTTCCAGAATGAAGCAAAACCGGGGGCTGGGTGGAAAGGGAAGGTGAAGGGATTAAGAAGTACAAATTGGCAGTTCCAGAACAGTCTCGGGGGTGTAAAGTGCAGCTTAGGGAATACAGTCAGTAACACTGTAATAACTATGCATGGCGCCAGGTGGGTACTGGGAATGTCAGGGGAAACACTCTGTGAAGTGTATGATTGTCTAGCCACCATGCCATGCACCTGAAACTATAGGACACAGTACTGAACATAAACAACGGCGTTGGACTTCTGTAATTCTGAGTGAAAGAATTTCACGATACACGTTATATGCTCCCTCAGTTGTGCTCTGGTTAATTTGTAGACATCCAACCCGATCGATGTTGCTGCTCGACCTGGGACAGTCCCGCACACTCTACTTCAAAAGGACCCGAGGGTACGTACAAAGTCGGGCTTGATCCCAGGTAACAGAGTGGGAAGGGGGTTGTTGTGTGCGTGGGACAGCCAGCCCAGTGCTCGCTCCTTCTAGCTCATCCCAGTGGGCTGCTCTTTGAGCTGTTCCTTCTAGTTTGTGGAAGAAAATGCCAGTTACTCTTAGAAAATAATGTCTCTTCTGCTCATCTGTGGCCACCGGACAGGGTGTGCCGACTTGGGGACAGAGGAATGGCTTACGGTCTGAGGTCAGGGATTCTGCACTTGAGCTTGTGTCGGTAGCATTCAGCTCATCTTCTCCGTCTGGATCTCCTTACATTTCTCTTACACAAAAGAAATAACTGTACAATGTTTTGAAGAGAGAAGCATTGAGCATTTTTTTTCCTGGGGTCAGGAAGTTCTGGCTCTCCACTAACATAAAATATCCATTATGCTGTGGTTGTGTTACTTATTCACAGTGTCTGCCTCTATGTACTCTCAAAAAAGAATTTAAAGTTATATATAACCTTGTTCATTGATTGTTGTTTACACTCATCTTTGTAGTACATGTGCAAAATGACGACCTTTTACAATATTGTCTTTTTCCCTGGGTAAGGGCAGTCAGAAATTGGTGACCAGAGTTAGGTAGAAGTTTAAAATGACTCAACTATGTAAGTATGTTCATGATGTTTAGTGAACTTCTTTACAATGTCTAACACCTCTTAGTACTGTGCAGCCATCGAATTAAGGGCGTTGGTTGAGGTAGCCTAGTTCTGCTCCGTGTCTGGAAGGACGCGCTCCCCAGATGCCCACTCCCATCCAGCCGTGCGCATCCACGGTCTGATGGCCCTTCTCCCTCGGACCCAGGCCGCGTGGTTTGGAGGGGCTGCATGAGGTAGTGAAACTCCTCAGATGTGTAATGTGAGCAAATTCTGTTGCCCGAGGGCAGACCGCTCTTGATTGAACTTGTTCAGGGGGCTTGTCAGTGAAGCCACCAGGGCTTGTGCCGTGGGGGAGGGGACAGTTGGCGCTCTTGATGGTGTGAAAATGGGTTAATTATCCTCCAAAAGGGCTTCATTTAAAAGTAAAATTCTAACATTTTAATTTCCCCTCCTAATGAAGCACTACAAATTTGTTAATTAGAGCAATTGTTTGAGTGACAGGCATGTAACCAAGTTGTCATTTTCTCTTCACAGTTGACAGATCCTTTCAGACCTATGTTAAGGGTAAGGAGCTTCTTCTGGAACTGTTTTCGCAGCCTCTGTGTGACTCCCCGTGGGTTAGAAACACAAATCCACTTTGAGGAAACAAGCCCCAGGAGCTCCGGAATGAAACGCTGCAGTGGCCTTTCTGTTGGTTGGGTTGGGTTGTGGGTTGGTTGGGTTGGGTTTCTCAGGTGGTATGATTGCAAATGGCCCGAACAGTTTTGCTTTAGTGTTGGAGGAAGCCAGGCTGTGGAGGTAACGCTAACAGGTAAAATCCACCAGAGTCCGATGCTCTTGTTAGCAGTTCTGGTGAAAGGTTAGGCTAGTGGGAACTTGCGGGGGAAGAATTGAGCTACAGGCTGAAAGTAGGGTTTCCCCGAGTTCTGCTGCCTGTCTTGCACCTAGAAAGTCTGGGGCTGTTTGTCTTGGCTGGGGCTGCCTCGTTCTGCAGTAAGTGGTGTTGACGTGTCACAGCCATTCTGCCTACTTCTCTGGTGCAGAGAAGGGATACTGTGAGCGTTGGCGCGCTAATGTCTTAGAGGTCTGGAGCGTGGCCAGCAGATGACCCCTGGATGAATGCTGACGGGCTTGGTTGGTTGGGGCGGGAGGGAAGATGGATGGTTGGCTGGAAGATGGATAGCTAGAAGATGCCCTGCCATACTTCATCCGCTCCTGGTGTGTAAAGTCAGATGATTCAGTTCCTCAAAAAGGGGAGAAAAGGATTGTGCCATCACTTAGGTGATGACCCATAATTTCATTATAAAAGAAGAACACTGACCCAGACTTGGATCTAAGTATATGTTTTAGAACCCGCTCCTTCCTGTCGACACTGGAAGTGGCTGTCCTTTGCCAGCGTGTTTATCCTCGCCCATCCCGTAGTTAGTGAGCGCACATTTGGAGCTCCTGGGTAGATTACGTAGCAAGAATACAAACGGTGGGAAGAGCTGTTCGCTGCCTCCAGGTGGGAAGACAGCACACCACCGCCGCTCCCCGCTCATAGAGCAGGACGGGAAGTGACCGACCCGTGAAGAGGCCTAGAGAGTAGAAGACCTGAGTGCTCATCTTTCTCTCTGTGTTTGACTTAGAAGGGCAGTGCCCACAGCACGAATGGGCAGTGACTCTCAGGGAAGCACCCGTAAGAACTGGGCTTCAGGAAACTGTGGACCTCCTTTGTCTTGCTTGGGGGGTTCAGGAGAGCCGGGGCTGGCGGGGTTACCCGGAGTCTGGACCCTCCCTTGTTTTGAATGATTCCCAGGCACTAATGAGCTCTCGGAACGGCCGGTTTGCATTAGCACGGCCACGTTTGTTAAGCAGGGCTCCCCCGCTCCCAGGTCTGCCAGCTGGCACCGGACAGAAAGGGAGCAGAGACACAGAGTGGGCCTCAGGCGTTTGCCGTCCTGTCCTGGGGGACGGGGGGTCCTCACCAAGTGCGGTGTTCTGAGGAGCCCGCCAGCTCCGGCCCCCGTGGGAGGGGAGGGCGCCGACGGGGGCCTTCGGCCTGGGCACTGGGGAGCTGCGGACAGGGGCACTGGGGTAGAAAGCACTGTTGTCTCGTGAAAAAGCCTCCGTAGCCCAAATCTGCTGAGAGCTTTAGGGAAATGAAGGCGGTTTTCTCTGAAAGGTCTCCTGACCACGTCGCTGTTTCTCTTTGCAGAAACCAGGGAAGTGGTGTGCGATGCACGTGCACATCGCCTGGCAGATCTACCACCACCAACAGAAAGTCAAGGTCAGTCTGCCTCCCCAGCCCGGGTGGGGCCCCGGGCTCGCGTGTGATCCCCCCACATGGGAGCATGTGAACAGATTCTGAGACCCCTGGCAGGCAGGATCCAGTCTGTTAAAACGCGGCTTGGAATCTTACTGTTCATTAGGGAAACCACCAGCAAAAGGACAAACAGGCGAACTGACAACTCCCTGATGATTTTTTCCTTAAAAAAAAAAAATAAGATTTTTGTCATCTTATTGATCTAAAGAGTTTAAATGTAGATGAGATCCCAAAATAATTAATCATTTTAGGGAAAAATCCGTAGGCCAGATGCCTCCAATGGGACAGGTTTATTATCGCAGACCCTGATGGAGTCCCAGGGGGAGTGGAGCCGGCAGGAAGACCTGTACAAAAGTTTTCTTTCCTGTAAGAATGGGTGTGTCCTTTTCATTTTAGAGCTTTGGGAAAATGATCGAGTAATTTAAGCCCTACATGATTCTTCGGCACAGATTTAAAAATGACTCCTGTAGAGGTAGTATTTGGTCTGCCCTGGTCCTCCTGATGACCGGTGCCAGAGGTTAGAACCCAATCTGTACTTGTCAGAACCACCGTCTGGCTAGTCTGCCCCTGTCCACGGATGACTTTTCTTCTTCATCTGTTCCCATCACACAGGTGAACACATAGCATGCTTTACCAGGCCTTTAGGATAAAGTAGGGAAGCGGTCAGAGACTTCTGCAGTTGACCAGATATGAATTCATTGGTTGGGGTTGGGAGCAGAGTAACTGACGACTTAGATTTTACATTCTGTGTAACTATGCCTGGAAAAATGGGGGGAAGGAGTCCGCCCAGTCACTCCAACAAGCTTCAGGTAACCCAGGTTTTCAGTAATAAGCTTTCAGTCCCAACAGCACTTGGGAGCCATTATGAGAATAATAAAAGAAGGCAATAACATGGAGGGCGAGCAAGTGACCACAGAAATGGTTTTTTTTCATGTTTTTTGTTTAATGGTTAGTTGACTTTTTAAAAACCAACATGTAAAAGTTTGAAAGCCACTCAGATATTTGCTTTGGTGCCAAATACCTGCTCTTTCTCCTAACATCCTATCAGTGAGCTTTGCTCACTTTTACCTCATTGTTGGGCAAGGTTTAATGAGAAGCCTTGTGGTTCGGCTGGGTTTGTCAAGGTGGGCACCTTGACGAGCAAACTAGATGCTGACACTTAGCTCGACTTGCTTTCTGTCCTGGGTGATGTGGTTGGTGGAACGGTAGGTTAAGACATGACCTCCTGTAAAAGAGATGAAGGATGCTGTGTGTGCCCTTTTAGCAACTTCCTTTCCATGAAAGTGTCCCCGGGGACTAAAACCTTCATTATCCCAATTCAATTAGGGAGGCCTCTTCTACACGAGCTGGCTGTTCGTCTTCCCTCTCCAGCAAGCGCTCTGTAATCCCCAAGCGCCATTTTGCTTCATGGACCTGCCTTGTGGTTAATGGAACTGTGCTGTGTACCGTGCAATATTAGCACTAAATAATTTGGCAACCAAATTAAAGGAGCCATTCAAAAGGTTTTTATAGATTTATAGTGGATTAGAAGCTTCGTCTGGGGGTTTGGCTATTACCTTATAGCGGGACTTCCACAACAGTATTCCCTGTAGATTTGAGCAGAAATTACATTGCCCGCCCTTTTCTTTAACGTTCATTTACTCATTCTTTTAGTCACTCACCAAATATTTCTTGGAGGGAGCCTACTGCCTGCAAGCTCCCTACTGTGCCCGGCTCAGAGGGCATTCTGCTGCCCCGGTTTCTGTTGCTTAGAGTTCAGTGGCGAGGATCAGGGCGAGCACAAAAAATGGTGAGCGTGCCGCCTGCTTCCAGGGGGCTTGCTTCCAGCTCCCGGTGCTCAGGCAGCTTCGTCCTAAATAGGTGTGATGGATGCGTGGGCTGGCAACCTGCAGCAGTGAGGAACAGCGGACGTGTCTCTGATTCTCACACGTGTCGATTTGTACGTCGGGGCAGGGTTTACTTATGGCAGAACATGAGAGAATTGAGTTGGCGGAGGAGTGGAACCCAGTGGGCTGAGAGTGTCAGATGCACCTGAGAGATTGGAAGTGTGGCGTCAGAGGCAACTGAGGGCTGTGAAGGAGCAGGGGACTGGAGAGCAGGGAGGAGGTGACAAGGGCATGGAGGCTCCAGAGCTTCGGACCCCCAGCCCTGGGGTGTGGGGAAGGGATTGGTGCTTGTCCAAGGGGGTGCGAGCTGATTCTGAGAGGGCTATTGAGAGTTGAGAAGGTGGGGCAGCTTCGCAATGATAATGTTTGAGTGCTGCCTGGTAGGAAATACAGTCAGTAGTATCTAATCACTATGGATGGTGCCAGGTGGGTACTGGACATATCAGGGGGGACACCTTGTAAAGTATGTGATTGTCTAACCACCATGCTGTACACTGAAACTAATAACAAAATAACACTGAACGTAACCGTAATTGAAAAAAGTAATACTGCTATTTTAAGTAATTTTAAATAATAATTTCAAGTTTCATCTTGAAATATATATTGCTACAGCATAGAAATAAAATTGGTATTTGCCCATTAAAAAAGATGGTGGGTTAAGGAGTCAGGAGGCAGATTGGGCGCCAACAGCCCTGGGGGAAGGCGAGCTGACAGGTGAGCTTGAGGGCAGATGTACAAATAAGAGGAAGTAGAGCGATTGCGGTTGATGGCAAGGACTTCACAACGAGAGGTTCCTGGTAGTTTTCTGGTCTGAACTGATCTCTTCTCAAGTAATTGGGCTTAGTAGGCAAAGAAAAGACCCCTATTAGTTAAATTAATATTCCTCTTTATTTGTGTGGGGGTTTTTGTAAGTGTGTAACAATGATCATTTGAAAATTAGCTTGTAGGCATGCAAATATTCTTCATAACTTTCAGTTCCTAATGTACTGTGATCTATTAGAGTATGGTAAAGAGTCATTAAACAATTAATTTACACAGAAGAATATTCGTGCAGAAATCATAATAAAATGAGCTTTAAAATGCTCATTTGAAAACTTGCTAAAATGGGCCTTTACTTGGAATCATAAGCTACTTCGGATGGGGTGGTGGTTTGAGTAAATAAAGATATGATTTTATTGCCACTTGACCCTCTGATTTGAGAGGCAGGTGCTGCCCAGTAGCCAGCCCTGCTGCCCTCTCTTGGCTGAGCTGCTATCCTGGCATCGAGGGTTAAACACTGCGGGTTGCTGGGTCCTCACAGCATTCGCAAACTCACACCTGTGGGGGCTCGGAGCCCGAGTGCACCAAGTCTCGGTCTCAGCCACTCATTAATGTCCTTCTTCCCTGCCGATCCCCTGGGGACGTCATCTGTTATTTCCCCCCTTTGCTGCTTTAGAAACAGATGCAGTCAGACCCACATAAACTGGACTTCGGACTGAAACCCGAGTTCCTGAGCCGTCCTCCGGGCCCCAGCCTCTTCGGAGCCATCCACCACCCCCACGACCTGGCACGGCCTTCGACCTTGTTCTCTGCCGCAGGTGAGTTCCGAGGGCCCGGGGCACTGAGACAGGTTGTTCTTGGGTGGCTGTGTGTTTGCGCTCTGGGCCACGGCTCAGTCACTCCCTACAAAACAGTCCCTGCCGGCCGGAGGCCACTCGCAGTGCAGCAAGGGAAATGGGCCTCCTTCAGTGATACATCCTTTTCCCTTAAAGAAGGAAACAAGCATCATCTTTCCCTTCAGGGACTCACGTTGCTTTGGCTCGTTATTTGCTTCTATATTAAGCCAGTATAACTCACAAGCACATCAACCACTGCTGAAGAAAGATCAGAACGTTCGAAAGGGCAAATGGGAAGGAATCGACCCAGCACTTTTGTAAGGTTGCGGTTTCAGTCGCTTTGCACCACGATGCTCAGTCCTGCTGTGTTTGAGGGTCTAAAGACAAATACAGCTGAGCCTTGAACAGCACAGTTTGAACCATGTGGGTCCACATATATGTGGGTTTTTTCACTGAATACACACAGCGCTACAAATGTATTTCTCTTCCTTATGATTTTCTTAACATTTTCTTTTCTCTAACTTTATTGTAAGAATACAGCATATAATAACATAGAAAATATGTTAGTTGACTTTTTATGTTATGAGTAAGGCATCTGGTCAACAGTAGGCTATTAGTAGTTAAGTTTCAGGGGAGTCAAAAGTTATATGCGGGTTTTCTCCTGTGCAGGGGGTTGGCGCCCCTAACTCCCACATTGTCCAAGGGTCCCTCTGCAGTTACGCTAGTGGCTGGCAGCAGGGCCTGTGATAGGGAGGGTGGATCAATTCGCTGCTGGTTGGTTGTAATAATGGAGGAAATGTAGGGGACAGGGTATGAAACACCCAGGAGATATGCTCGTTAACATCTGAGAGTGTGCACAGCCGGGGCTGGGGGCCGCTGAGGGTCACTGCTCACGTGGCCACCAGCTTGTGCGCCAGGTCCATGCAAACGAAAGGCAGTGGCTGGTGGGAGGATTGGGTGGATGAGCAGAGCCTCGTAGCAAAGGTTCCGTATTCGGTCTTTCCTAAAGCTGTCCTCAGTGCAGGCGCCTGGTCCCCACTTGATAAAATAGTAAGCAACGCCACGAGGCTCCCTGTAGTGACCAGCGCCATAGTCTAATACCGCCCCACCGTGCTGGGTAGAATGTATTCTTCTGGACATAAGTCTCCGAGGGGCTCCCTGCTTCTCATCAGGGAACAAGTTGCACATCCACCCTGCCTGCCGCCTCCCCAGGCTTTTATCCAGGACTTGCTTTGGTGGACCTAAAGCTCTTCATTCAAGATGAGAGAAACACCCACATTGCGAGAAGTCATCGTTTTAATGGGCTTTGTCGCCAAAGCCAGTGAATCGCCCTGGAGGGTAGATGGAATTTGCGAAGGTCTCAGGTTTTCCTCTGTCAGTTCTGTCCAGGGACGTATTTGAAGGCCTTGTTACCATGGCATCTAGGCTCTGAGACAGGGCCACGTTAAGAGCAATTTTGGGAGAGAAATAGATTTCTCCCTGGCTTCCATCTGGGCCAAGCAGATGAATGGGCTTCTTTTGCTTCAATAACTTGGGGATTGCAAGGCACCCTGGGGCCCGGGCCCGGCAAAGCTCCTGTCTTCCCAGAAGCACTAATGAGCTTGCACCACACAGTGTTCAGCCAGGTTTTTATTTAGCTAATAACTAATGAGTGTGCTGGGCTACATCTGCTCTGTGGAGACAGGGTATCATTTCTGCACTTTTTGGGTGGAGAGCAAGTCACCATCTAGGGCTGAGCAGAGAACTGCTCAGGTGCCTTCTAATTCTGGGACACCGGATGGGGGCCTCTGTGCTGGGGGGCTCTTCCACACCCCGGGGAACAACGATCCGGAACATAAACCGAGTCAATGGGGGTTTGGGATGGGACTACCCTCCATTTTAATCTGTGTTTCTGGAGAAACTTATACTTGTTCATAGGAATTTAGCCCAAGTGCAAGGGATTCTAGAATAGTTGTTAGTGAAGTCATTAGGCCCCGTTTAGCCTTCGCTTCTGGGAGGTAATCTTTTGTAGTACCAGCAATATTGGATTCTGCTCCAAATGATTATTTGGTGAAACTTTTAACCGGTATGTAAAATTGGCGCACACTTGTTAATTCAGCCACTTTTGTCCTACCGTTGGGCACTAGTGCCTGGAATAAACTAAAGGGGCCTCTTCAGATGACCCTGGCCAGAGCCGAGCCTGCCTCCTCAGCTCCCCCTCACAGCCACCAGCCAGTGTGGGCCCCGAGCTCTCGGGATACTGTCCTTCCCTGATTCACATGTGAGCTCTCTCTCTCTTTCCTTCCCCAGCTCCCTTCAAGAAAAGGATTTAAAGCATCTTAAGTACAGTGGGGCCTTGACTTACAAGTTTAATTCGTTCCGAGACCGAGCTCGTTAAGGAGCTCGTTAACTCAAATTACTCTGTCAACTCAATGCAAAAAATCGGCCGAGAGACAGCTGGTATCTCAAAAAACTCATTAGTCAGGACACTCGTAAGTCAAGGCCCCACTGTACATATTGTGTAAGGCAAATTATAAAGTAGAGGAGGAAATGTGGATAAAGGAAAAACCACAAAGTTAGGACTGAGTTCTCTGGTGGGCAGACGAGTAGAGCCAGTTATAAGATTATTAGTGTCCGCCTTAGCTGGGTTGGCTCAGTGGAAAAAGTGCCAGCCTGTGGACTAAAGGGTCACACGTTCGATTCTAGTCAAGGACATGTACCTCGGCTGCAGGCTCAATCCCTGGTCCTGGTCAGGGCGGGTGCAGGAGGCAACCAATCGATGTATCTCTCTCACGTCGATGTTTCTCTCTTTGTGTCTCTCCCTCTCCCTTCCACTCTCTAAAAATCAATGGGAAAATGTCCTCAGGTGAGTATTAAAAAAACACCACACACAGATTATTAGCGTCTAGAACCTGTGAGTAAACTGGCTGACCCGGCACTGCAGACTGAGCAAAAGCAGGGGACCCGTCTCCCAGCACCCAGAGGAGCACAGCTGTTTCTTAGGGCCGGGCTTACACTGTCCTCCAGTGCGGGGCTGGGCCCAGAGCGGCAGCTTCATGTGGCCGCTCCTGAGCCAGGCGTTAGGACATGTAGTCTCCACACCAGCATCTCTCAGAGTGAAAGACTGGCTCCATCGTGGTCAGACGTCCCCTCTCGGAGAGGCGGTGAGCCGTGGACAGAGTGTGGCTCTCCTTCCTTCAGTGAAGAACTTTACCTGACATTTTTTAACCTGGCATTTCTCCTCTGACCTTTTTTGGTTATAGAACCCCCGTCCCCAGCAGTGTTTTTTGATGATTCTAATTGTCCGTCAGTGTCTTTCTTCCTGGTATTGCCTGGGTGGCCCTAGCCTGTCCTTCCTCACATGTTCCCTCTTGGGGTCGGCAGGCCACTAGGAGCCAGCTGAATTGCAGAAGCTGGCTTCCTGGGGGATCTGATCTGCTGTGTTTGACTCCACAGGTGCTGCACACCCCACGGGGACCCCTTTTGGGCCGCCTCCTCATCACAGCAACTTCCTCAACCCTGCTGCTCACCTCGGTGAGTTGCACACAGTGACGGGAAGGGATGGGTGTGTTTCAGAAACCCTCTTTACTAAGGCCCTGCCCCACTTCCTGGCAAGTTGGCCATGATCCTAGCCGCCTCGCTTACTCCTCAGGGAGGGGACGGTGACTTGTGGAAGTCTGAGTAGGTGCCATGCGCCTCCAGAGTTCAGCACCTCTGAGGGCACACTCTTCAGGGAGCAGCCCGGTGCTCTGGCTCGAGGCTGATGTGCCCGGGGGGGGGGTGGGGGGGGGCGTGGAGGCCAGCCTGGGTCCCTCGGGGAGTCACATTTACAGCAGCCCATGCTGCCCTTGGAGGAGGTGGGGAACTCACTCTGGTCTACAGACAGGCACCTCCTGGCGCTGGAAGGAAAGACCAGATGAGGCTTTGATGAGTCACTACCCATTATGTCTTCAACACCTCACATTTCACGCTGTAGTCATGTGTCTCTTCTAGCAAAGGTGCACGCCATGTTCGTGGCCTGGGTTTGATATTTTCTGCAAGTGTGCAAGCAGAGGCAGGCTGTGGTATGCCTGACAACAGGGTTGTTATATGTCAGCCTTCAGAATTTCATCCTCAATTTATTCTAAGATGTCATCTCACTTCTGTTCCATTAGAGCCTATAGCGCAGGCCCCCGGGCTGGGGGAGGCAGCAGGAGGCATCTTAGAACATGAGGCTTGAGTAACGTTCCCCACACCCCCTCCCATTGCCCCCGCAAGAGAAATGGGGCAGAATGCACACAGCTTGTGTGAATACTGTGCTAACAGTGCCTACGTCGGGTGCGATGGGAACCTTCGCATGACCTGGTAGAAGAGGGACAGAGCAGGTCTGAGTGCAGAGGCGCGGCTCCCAGGAGCTCCGACGTGCTCACGCAGCCTGTCCTCCTCCCCACTCTTGTCTGCAGAGCCTTTCAACCGGCCGTCTACGTTCACCGGCCTGGCAGCAGTTGGTGGCAATGCCTTCGGGGGACTTGGAAATCCTTCAGTTAGTGAGTACCTCTAACTTTTTAAAATCTGTCTTGGACTATTTATCTCCTCAAATCTGTCTACGGCCTTTCCGCCTTTCCAGATAAAAAGAAACTAAGCCCTTGGGAAATAAATTGAGGTTTTATCATTGCGAAATCAGGTCTAAACAATGGAGTTAGGTATACGTGTGCATTTACATCAAAACCAACTTTTTAAGGATAACCCACTGTTAATATATGTCACTGAGGGTCAGGAAAGATGATGTAGTTAATTGAACTCCAAAAAGTTTGCTTAAATTCATAGTTTCATCCACATTCCATCTCTGTTCCCCCAGACTTTAGACACAACTCCCACTAGAGAGGAAAACAAACTTCATCTTGCCTTTGGCATTGGTGGGTTTGAAAAAGCTCGATGAAGAATAGCAGGAAAACAACAGCAGGCTCAGGGGAGTGAAGACCTGGAAACATTTCTTGCTCCATAATCTGGGAGGGTCAGCTAGTTTTCCATGGCTAGAAAGTCTGTCTCACACAGGAAGAGAGTTGCAGCACCTGCTAGACATCAGTTAGCCACTGGGTAGCACGCACTCACCTGCTGTCTTTCACGCCATCCATACGTCACGGTCTCCGGGTACAGACACATAGAATGCAGCGCAAGCAGCCATCACCATTCCGTCCAGCGTGGAGACCGTGTGTGTTTAGGTCATGCGCTCTCTTGTCTCTGTAACACCACTTTGCTAAAGCTGTGGGAAGAGTAGCAGTCATATTAGCAGGGCTGCAGTCGATAGTGGATGGCCCTGAATTCTACTCTGAATTGAGTGTTACTCGTTAAGTCACCCTATCACACTGTACCCTCTGCATGCTGGGACTTGTGCATGCATGGATCTGTTTAACTGGGTCATCTCGACATCTGCGTGGTCCCTGCCCTTTTTCATCTGCCCCCTCACCTCACTTTGCCTTTGGTTTAAAAAAAAAAAAAATCTATGAGCTGCCTCTCCAGCGTAGGACAAGTTCCTCTAATGAATTTGTTAATCTCCTTTCCTTTTCCAGCTCCCAATAATATGTATTCATTTTAACTCTGAATGCTGTTAAAAGTTTTTTGGTAAGTACCTTCATTACAGCAGATTATATAATTTCTCTTAAACCTTTTTGTTCTCCACTTCACCATTTCAGCACCCAACTCAATGTTCGGCCACAAGGATGGCCCCAGTGTGCAGAACTTTAGCAACCCTCACGAGCCCTGGAACCGGCTGCACCGAACGCCTCCGTCGTTCCCGACCCCTCCGCCCTGGCTGAAGCCAGGGGAGCTGGAGCGTGGCGCGTCCGCTGCAGCTCATGACAGAGATAGAGATGTAGATAAACGAGACTCATCTGTTAGTAAAGATGACAAAGAAAGGTACGGAAAGAAACCGCTCTCGATCCCGCTGGGGTAGCCCGCTCTGTGCCAAGTACCAGCCACCCACCTCCCTGCCCAGCCTTGTGCTTCAGCTGCCCCTGTAACCTCAGCTCTTCACACAGGCAGGCCGTGGCACCCCAGCGTGCACACCCCACCCACACAGTGCATTGTGGCAGAATAGAACCCTACCAGAGCGGGAGTCCCCACTCAGAGCAGTTACACATGCAGACCCTCCCGTCCCTGCGAGCACTGATGTGTCCAAACATAGCTCTCCCTCTACACAAGAGCAAGGTGGTGCTCTGGACCAGACACGCACAGCATGAATCCACGCCATGTTTGCTTTCCCGTGTGTGCAGTCCATTAAACCATGCATAGGTCTCTCTCTCTCTCTTTTTCCCCTCTCTCTTTTTGTTTTTTTTTTTCTTTGAGAAAGTCATGTTTGCATTGCCTCATCATATTTTTCTGAAATTTTGTTCAAACTCAACTCCTTAGCTCTCACAGATGACTAATAAAAGTTTGCTAACCTATATTTAGAGGAACATCAACAAGCAGTATTACTGGTTTGGGTTTGTTTTGCCGGTGGATAATTTTTACTAACCATTTGTACCTCTGTACTTGGTAACCCAGGCCTAATAAAAGAATTGGCTGTAAAGAGGAAAGCGCTATTTTTTCTCTGAAGAATGTCATAAGCATTCTTGACAGTGTGTCCCTTTTTTTCCCCCTTCAGGCTGTTTTCATTTTGAACCAACTAAATAAGGAATACACAAGATACGCTTGACAGAAAATATCTAATAACAGTTTCCTTTTGGTACTTTGGACTCAAATCTTGTCCAAATCTTTCATTTTTCTCTAACTGTATGTTGTGTATGTGTGTGTATCCTAGTGATTTAAAACAGTTCAACTTTGCCATCTCTAAAAGTGACAGACTAGTAGATACTCATCATAGCCCATCATGCTAATAACTGAGTTCTTTCTTATAAATTTTCCTTCGAGGCAGTAGGATAAAACCTGTTGGCCAATGGGAGGACCATTTGTAACAGGCAGCGCTGAGCTGTAAACGGCCACGGTGAGGCACCCCTGGAGTGGACGTGCCCTGACCAGGAGGTCTCCATAGACAGGCTGTCTGGAGAGAGAATAGGTGTGGCAGCAGACCTTTCCCGTTTTCCTTAATGGAGTTAAATGGCCTCTTGGATCAGCGCGGTCACCGACCGGTGGTCCGTGAGGTCCGAAAGGTTGGCGACCGCTGTCTTGGATTAAAGTCAGGAAACCTAATAAAACACACTCTTCTTCAGTCTTACCTTTCAAAGATGCTCTTCTTAGCCTTTGCACGTGCACTAGAAACAAACTTTGTTAGGGAAACCTTAATTCCCACTGCAGCCACTCACCTGCTGAGCCAGCGTGGCATCCTGCTTGTCCCCCATGCTCCCCGCGTCTGTCTGGGGTGGCCCCCAAGTCTTGCCAGACTCTCAGTCTTCCCTCTTCAAGTTTTACCTCATTGTTGTTCTACTGCTTTGCATCCTCTGCCCAGTATTCTTCAGCCCCCACCCAAGATAGGCCTCTGGAATTCGTTTACATTTTCATTCATAGATGCTTTTAAAATTGTCCTCAATTTCCCCCAGGTTGTGTCTGTGGACCTGCTTGTCCTACTGGTGTTCTCCATCTTCTCATCAGGTGTTGGCTTTCTTGTACTTCCTATCCTTCCTAATGCAAAAGTCCTTTAGCCGCCCCACAGTCCTGAAATCGTGGTTTCCTTTCAACCCCCTCACGTACCACATCTTGGAGATTGCTCCGTGTCTGCGTTTTTCACTCTGAAACCAGCTGTCAGGAGACAGAAATGCCCATAGTTGTCACGTTAAACTCTTCCTCCCGCTGGCTCTGTGTGACAGAGTGATGAAAGGTCATATTTGCCTTTAGGCTCTCAAAACTTTGTTCTCAACACCAGCTGGTCCTGAGAGTCCAGCCCAGTGGGCAGTGTGGCCCGTCACTCACCAACGGGCCACCTGGCTTTCTGAAACTCTTCCTCTGGGGTCTTGATGAGGCCCCTGACTCTTACATACAGAGAATGATTTTCCCTGGAGACTCCCCACTCACCCTCAGCCCTAGCATTTCACCCCCATTGAGCTTCCTCTACAATGAGGTAAGATCAGGTGGCTGGCTTTGCCACGGTGACGGTGGGAACCAGCCCCAAGCCACCCTTTTCACACCATGTCATTGGCAGCCCCGGCCAGCCCACAAGCCCATTTCACTTGCTTCCTGTCTCCCTCCTCCTGCAGGGAAAGTGTGGAGAAGAGACACTCCAGCCACCCTTCACCAGCACCTGTCCTCCCGGTGAGCACCCTGGGACACACCCGCGGCTCCACTGAACAGATCAGGGGTCATTTGAACACTGAGGCTCGCGAGAAAGACAAATCCAAAGAGAGGGAGAGGGACCACTCGGAGTCCCGCAAGGACCTGACCGCGGAGGAGCACAAGGCGAAGGAGGGCCACCTGCCCGAGAAGGACGGCCACGGCCACGAGGGGCGAGCCGTAGGCGAAGAGGCCAAGCAGCTGGCCCGGGTGCCGTCGCCCTACGCGCGGACCCCTGCCGTGGAGGGCGCCAGGCCCAACAGCACCTCGAGCCGCGAAGCTGAGCAGCGCAAGAGCGAGCCGGCCTACGAGAACCCCAAGAAGAGCTCAGAGGTCAAGGTGAAGGAGGAGCGCAAGGAAGACCACGACCTCCCCGCGGAGGCCGCGCAGACCCACCGGTCCTCGGAGCCGCCGCCTCCCCACTCCTCGTCCAGCGTGCACCCGGGGCCCCTGGCTTCCATGCCCATGGCGGTGGGGGTGACGGGCATTCACCCCATGAACAGCATCGGCAGCCTGGACAGGACTCGCATGATGACGCCCTTCATGGGCATCAGTCCCATCCCGGGCGGAGAGCGGTTCCCGTACCCTTCTTTCCACTGGGACCCCATTCGGGACCCTCTGAGGGATCCCTACCGAGAACTTGACATTCACCGGAGAGACCCGCTGGGCAGGGACTTTCTGCTGAGGAACGACCCCCTCCACCGTCTCTCGACCCCCCGGCTGTACGAAGCTGACCGCTCCTTCAGGGACAGGGAGCCCCACGATTACAACCACCATCACCACCACCACCACCACCCGCTGTCCGTGGACCCGCGGCGGGAGCACGAGCGGGGCGCGCACCTGGACGAGCGGGAGCGCCTGCACATGCTCCGGGAGGACTACGAGCACTCGCGGCTGCACCCCGTGCACCCCGCCTCGCTGGACGGACACCTGCCGCACCCCAGCCTCCTCACGCCGGGGCTCCCCAGCATGCACTACCCCCGAATCAGCCCCACCGCGGGGCACCAGAACGGACTCCTCAACAAGACCCCTCCCACCGCCGCACTGAGCGCGCCGCCCCCACTCATCTCCACGCTGGGGGGCCGCCCGGTCTCCCCCAGAAGGACTACTCCTCTGTCGGCAGAGATGAGGGAGAGGCCGCCTTCCCACACGCTGAAGGATATCGAAGCGCGATAAGGAGAGTACAGGCCACGGGAGAGGAGGCCCACCAACAGCGCCAGACCCGGAGCGGAGGGAGCCAGCGGGCGCCCGCGTCCCTGACGGACTGGGGGGCAGGAGCCCCAGCTCTCCCTGTAAACAATGTATAGACTCAGTGCAGATTTTGAAATGTTTTTGTATATTATATGTTGAAATTTTTCAGATATTTTAGCCAAGTCATATGTTCTCATGTGTCCAACCCTTTTGGTTTCTCGTACAAAACTTTTTGATTTGAACCAAAACAGTGAAGATGACAACACACACTGATGTGTTCATTGGGGAGAAAACAGACAGACAGCAGTCCGCACGAGCCACCGTGCAAGCTCTTTCAGAGGAGAAGGGAAGGCCTTGTACATAGTTGTGTAAAAAAAAGATTGCTTCATGAGCTAAGGGTTCATATATGCAAAAGGGTAAGATGAAAGCTTTACTTTGTACAAATGTAAATAGGTAAAGATTAAGTAACATAATACATTAATACTTCTTAAAATGTGCTCTTTGCAAACTTAATCTCAGTGAACACGGTCCGTGCGGCTGTGTTCCCCTGTATTGTTAGAGACAGCTAAACCCTTCAACTATGCAATGAATGTTCAGGCTTTTCACAAAAGCCCGCCCAACTCAAAGGAGCCTTTTCAGATCCATTTACAACATACTTAAGGTCATATTTTCCCTGAACAAGCGCTTATGTGATAGGACTCTGTTTTCCTTGCTTATTTTTTCAAATACAGAAACATCCTCTTTTGCAAATTGGACCCCAGGCCGAAATTTTGGCTCTAAAGTTGCTGCTTGTGGGCTCCTGGGGCAGAGGGTGGCCCCAGGGAGGTCAGAGGCCATGAGCAGCCAGTGCCGGGGAGGCCAGGAGTGGTCAGATGCCAAAATCAGGGGACACGAACCGGTTGCCAGCATCTCACCACCATCAGTCATGTGATTTCACACATACCTCATGTGGGAACCATGCGTTTTTTTAGTGTGTCCTATTTCCTACCCGTACACACTTCCTCGTTTTGTAATGAGATTCAGTCACACCCAAACAGATCCTGAAAGAAAGCTTTGCGTTTTCTCAGATGATGGATATGTTTTCACTATTCAGTAACCAACAGATCAAAAGGGCACGTTTCCTAATGTGACTCCCTGTATTCTAGTCAGTGATAAAGTCTGGGAGCGGCCTCGCAGAGCCGCGGAGCGGAGCGTTACCGAGGGTGGAAGGTGGCTGAGACAAAGTCTTGTGTGTGCGTGTGTTTTTAAGTTTGCATCAATCTTAATGTCTCCTCATAATACTTTTATAATACATTAAGCCTCTTGTCTACATATTTGGAGAGAATATGACTTTACTAGCAGAGAAATACAATATATCTTGTCTACTGGACTGTAAAATATATGTACGAAATAAAATTAGTTCCATTGGTCTTCTAGTATATTAAAGTGCTATCTGACGTTGTTATCCTGTTTTTGGAGAAAAAAAAAGTTAACTACAGACCATTGTTTCTAATAAGCAGAGAGATCTATTTTAGTAGTAAACTGAAGGTTTAGTTGTGAGCTTCAGAATTTTGTGAACTCCAGATATTGTGCAGTGGTTTTTTTTTTGGCTTTTTTTTTTTTTTTAAGACAACAACTAAAAAGGAAAAAGAATCCAAGGAATATGTACACTGGAACTGTAGTGGTAGCTTCAGTATTGTAAAGAGATTGTTCTATACGGACCTTTTGCTGTTTCTCCTGTATGTAATAAAGTCCTTTCTAGACCCTATGTGAACAGAAAAGTGAAGCGACTGACTTCAGCATGTTCTCAGCGGCGGAGCCTTCTTGTGTAATGTAAACTGTGCCATGTTATTAAAAAATGTGAACGAAGCTTTCAGCTGCTTGTCTGTGTGAGCTGGCCATCCGGCCTCAGGGAGGAGCCCTGCTCGTAGGCCCTGGCTCTGACCCTCCCTGGGCCCAGCAGAGTGAGAGCGGAGGCTGCCCCGCACACTGGCTGCCCAACCTAGGCATCCACCTGCTAGTTTCTGTAGACGTTTGGGCCCCATAAAAGTTGTAGAACTTTTTTATTTTTGTTATGTTCTAAACAAAAGACTGCTTTGGGGAAGGTACTTCTGGATTGTAGGTGAGCCTGTGTAGGCCAGGTTAGCAAGTAGGCCTGCTCAGGTTTGCTTTCTCTGCATTGGTGACAAACCGGATATCGGGCCGCTGACCACAGTCTTTGTGTGCCTGTCCCTTTGCATTTCACCTGGGGACTCTGGTGTTGAGACCTTATAGATATTTTTTCCCTTGTTGACTTTTTTCTGTGTCTTGTTGAATGACATGGCACATCCCTCATCAGTTTGCAGATTTCTGCCTCATCCTCAAATTGGTTTTATGTTTTTTTCTAAGATGGAGAAATTATTAAATTTTACTGTGTCAGCCTGATGAGGCTTCTGTTTGGATGTATAGACTCTGCATATTTTGGATTGGTGTTTGTATCTGACTGGAGAACAAGGAAAGCAGTCCAGGTTAGCGGGACATGGGTGGCTGCTGAGTGGGTGTTAGAAGTGAAAGGGGCTGGGATCCAGGAGCCGGGACTTGTGATGGGAAGGTGCCCTGGGCACCTGTGGCTCCACAAGGGTGAGTGGGACGTGGGAAAGGCTTCTGGGTGAGGCAACCACCTTGCTGGCTTGGGAAGTTGATGGCGAGTAGAGCAGGGACTGCTTGGATAACGCCCACTTCTCTCAGTTTCCCTTTTATGTGTTAGTACCTGACTCTCAGACCAGAGGAAATAGCTTGAAGAAAAACTAGTGGATCAGAAAACCTGATAAACACTGTTTTCCCAAATCAGGCAATTCTCGGACCTTCCGACACTCACCGTGACTGTTGGTTCGCTGTCTCTGGCAGACCTCACCGCCTTGTGTTGTACACCTCCTTTCATGCCGCCATCTGCAATGTCAGGACATGGAAGAGTCAGCTCTCAAAATCAGTCACGGTATTTAATCCCGGGGGCTTGATTCGCCTCATCCTTTGCATATTTCCCCTCTAATTATGTTCAGCTCCTCGGCATTGATGGGCACCAGCACCAATCTGATTCCCTGCTAACCTATAGATGCTCTAATTATCTCCACAGCCTTTGACTGACAATGATCTTGTTACCTTCTAATGGTACATGACAAGTAAAATAGCGACGTAATGATGCAATAATTACCATTTTGGAAGGATATTCGCAACAGCATTTGCTGTTTATCCTTTTTCTGCCTCAATCAAGGTGGGTGAGAGGAAATAAGATGTGGCTGTTGATGTTACAGATACGAATGTAGCATAGAAAGAAGTGTAGGAATCTTGCGGTGCCCCCACACCTCTCTGTGTCCATACTGAAAAATTCAGCCTTGGCGGCATTCAGCCCGTTGAAGGAAAGAGGACAACAACAGTGATTGGGGCTTTTACACATGCTCTTTTTTAAAGTTTGCCATCATTTTTTCCCTATGAATTTCTGAGCAGTTTCCTAGACATGGAAGTATCCTTTCAATAGAACAGGGCGATTTATCAGATAGAAAATTAGACCATCAAACACAAATCCACACTGCGAAATGGCTGCTTCCTTTGGCGCCACCACGAACACAAGGTGAGTTTTTGTATCCCATCTGAACTGCTGGACGCCCGATAGACCTTGAAGCAGCAGGCAGGAGCCCAAGGCCACCCTGGGGCCTTCCACTCTGTGACCTCGAGCAAAACGCAGAACCTCCCCAGAGCTGTTTCTTAGTGTGTGAAACGAGACCATCAGAGCCTAACAAGACCTGAAAACATGCAGGTCGTCAGCGCGGAGACACATCGGCGCGGATGGGTTTGGTATGTGCCGTCCTAGAGCTGATGAAAATTGCAGACTGGATAGAGGACCACCCCCACAAAAGAAAAAGGAACTATGTATTTCCTTGCTTATTTTTGCAAACTCGGTCGCAATCACAGTGTCAGGAAAATTCTTGACAATCATTTGCTGACATTTGGTAGAACAAAAAGGTGTGGGGTTGGTGCTTCCAGGGTTTCTAACACAGGGACTCAGTTTCTCACCTGGTGTGGGGAGGGGGGTTAGGCAGGGTCTGTCTGAAGCACCTGAAGTATTGTCGGTTTGGGTCTGACCTACTATCCTGCCCGGAAAGGTTCCTGAGGCCTGACAGGCCCGCTGGAGTTCAGCCTCCCAGCCGGTGGTTGGGTCTGGCTGGCCCGGAACAGCACTGACGCCTCCCGGGCCTGTGTCCCTGTCCCAGGCAGGTGCTGGGCAGACAGGCCTCGGCTTCCTCAGCTCTCACTGGATTAGTCACTGGATATTGGAGGCCTCTCCAAGCTCTGTTTGGACTTTGTATCGCGGTTGGGCCTCGGGCTGCTTCCTGAAATCTTATTTGCCTTCTCACACCCTGACCATTCATTCCCAGTGCTTTTTGGCAACTTCGTACCTGCCTTTGCCTGAGGGGTCTCTTCCCTCTTCTCAGCGGCCCTGGCTTCAGAACCTGAGCCACCTGCAAGGTCACACTCGAGCACCTCCGTAAAGTCTCTCTGCCCATTTCAGCTCAGCCCTCCCTCTTTGAAAACCTCAGGTGTAACCATCCTCCACCTCCTCTCAGCCTCTCCTGTCCGGGTTCCATAGCTCTAGAGGCCCGAATGGGTGTGTGCCCGGCGGATAGAGCCACTGGGGCTGGGTGGGTGAACAGAAGGCTGCACGGAGCCCTGGTTGTCCAACCTTGACTGTAACGCATGGGCGTCCTGATGCAGGGCCCTTCTGCACACACACCTGAAACAGATGTGATGAAACAAGACCCTTGTTCTGTGCATTGTTACCGGCGAGATGTGGGGGCTCTGGATTTTTAAGATTCTATTCTCTTCTGATTCATTATTTTTATACTGATTGCACCCACTACTTCATTTGGTGTCTTTGGAAATCATGGGTCTCGATCCCTAGCTTGAAAACAGTGTCACAGAAGAAAGGCCCAGACTTTAAAGGGGGTGAGGCTCACCTGGGCGGAAGATCCTGCTGGTGTCTGCTCTTGTCCCACGACATGTCCCTGTTCTCTCACCTGATCCCTCCCTGACCACCCTTCACACTGTGCCGCCTGCACCTGTGCTGCCTGGACACCTATCAGCCTCATCACCTGCCTTTCTCAGCACACACTGGGCACTCACACACCTCTGGGTCCTGGTTCCCTCTGCTTTCTCTTTGTCATCCTGCAAGCAGGCTTTCCTCAATGACCTTCACCCCCAGGAAGCTTCCCCTGACTGCCCCTTGTCCCTCATCAGAGTTAATTGCTTGGTTTGGTGGTTCTCAAAGTGTGGCCCCTGGGAACTTGTGAGAAGTGCACGTCTCAACCCCTCCCTCCAGCCTCCTGAATCTGACACTGGGGGTGCTGCCCAGTGATCAGTGGTTTAATGAGCTGACTCCCTGGAGAAACTGTTCTCTGCCCGCTAGCCCAACCCAGGACCCTGCTGGATCTCAGAGAGGTTGTCACACGTTTGAGCCAGGAGGGCGTTTTCTGCTTCCAGGTCCATCCCGGTTCCTCGCTGCTGCGTGGTCACTAATTCAGGGGTCACTAACACTGTGACATGGCCCGAGAGGTCTGCCTCTGCCTCTGTACCATGAAGATAGTAGTAGCCAGTGTTAACTGAGTGCCTTTTGCATGCACCAAGCTCTTAATATGGATTATCTCCCTTAATGTTTCAAAGACCTTACAGGGTATAACCCCATTGGGAAAGTGAGGAAAATGAGGCCCAGAGAGATGAAGTAATTGGCCCGTGTTCAAGTGCATAACCTAGATACAGACCCTCTCCCCGAACCGACGCCACAACCATGGCCCTGTGTTGCTGCTGAGGAGGCTTGCTGAGTTAATTAGCCACATAAACAGCAATTGCAGGAACATTTAACATGCACTTGGGCTTAGCACCACATATATTCCAGAGGCTGCAAACTGATGGCCTGGATTGAATGAATGAGTGAGTGAGTGAGTGAATGAATGAAACAAGAAGACAGTTTCATTCATGGCTTAAGGATGAGAATATGACATGAACCAAGAACTGTGATTATCCAAGTCTGTACAGCTAAGATCTTTTTTTTAATTGGTGGCTTGTGTGGTCCAAAGCAGCCCAACAACTTGTTGTATTTGGGCCAGAATTTACAATACCGAAATTTTATGTAGGCTGACCAGAATCGTGGCCCCACTGAGCCCATGTTCTGAGGGGCCATGTGCCCTGAGCTGCCTGCAGCCACCCCCCAGCATCCCATGTGGCAATGTCCACACGGCTCCCGTAAATGCTGGGCAGATGTTGATGAGCAGTTTGTGACTGTGGATACGTGATGCTTAGTACAAAAGTTGTTGAAAACAGTATTTTCCCATCTCATTTGTAAAGTGGAATTAAACTTGTTAAAGTTCCAGGTGGTAGAGTGACATCCAGAGAAGTAAAAACCAGCATTCTTCCCTGGAATTGTACCCAACCCGACGATCTTCACCTGCTAATAACGCAGCAAGGATGCCTTCGCTGTACTTCACACACCCAGTAGCAGCCAGAGTCCATGAATACGTTAGTGGGTGCAGAATAAATGGACAGTCATCTATTTGACAAACATTGAGGGTGTCCCATTGGCCAACCTCACACTAGGGGCTGGGGCTCCAGCCGGAGCCAAAAAGACCAGGCCCCTCTCTCCTTGGTAGGCTTACATCCAGAAGCAGACAAGAAGATGACAGGTTAACCAAGACAAAAATAGCAGTTTCTTTGGCAGTGTTCATGGAAGGAAAGATGAGAACAGGACCACGTGAGTCACGTTTGAGAGGAATTCCCAGGAAGGAGCACGAAAGCCGAATCCGGACAGGTCTTTGGGGTCTGGTACTAACGGTCTTGCTTGC